TAATTAGGCTTCGATGAGATAAAGTAATTAATCAGTTTTCTATTAGGGCGAGGCTACCAAGCCACTTATCCTATCGGACTCGAGAGTATCAAATGCTTTTTCGTACAATTCCTAGTTCTAAACTTCAGTCTCCTACGAATTAGAAAGGCTTTGTGGAGACCAAGAGCAAGGGCCTTTCAATGGAACCCAAGAAAATTCTACTTATTTCATCATTAGAAGTTCAGCGTCCTGACTTTATGTAGTCTTAGACAAGCTGCAGTGATCTGCTCTCTTAGTTGGGGCCTAGAGAACGTTTCTTTTCTGGACCTAACAGGTGTCATTATTATTATGCAATATAGAACATTTTAACTGAGATGGGTAGATGTGTAAAGATTATTTAAAATAAAACCTAAAATATTATTTGTATATTTTGTGGGTGGCTAAATGCCTCTTTTTCGCTTATTCTATCAATTAAGTATAAATAATTCCTACTAAAATTTGTATCTTTATTCCTAACATTAAAATGATGAGTCTGATACCATCCTACCTCATGTACCCCATGTTTCGCCATCCACGAAGCCTTGACTTTACAGCTTATAGGAAGATTTTAATGTTCAGCTATCGTTTAGCGAATTGAGCGATAGGACTTGCAAACATTAAGGCAATCACATGAACAAACTATTTTACATCGACTTGATTTGAATAAATACTAAACTCTCAATATGGAAGTGGAAAAAATCAAATAAAGTGTTTTAAAATGTCTATGAAAACTGCACCTATTATCTATATTTTTACAAAGGTATAGAGACCAAGATGGTATGGCCGTTTGTGTGGTCACAGTCTCCTTTCGTTGTATAGAAGTTGTTTGACGTTGTTTTCGCAACTTGGTCATATTGTTAGGAAGACTTAGAGGAACGCACCTTGTCCGGAGTCCATTGTATGCATCATCATTTCCAGAATAGGACCACGTCCACGATCCAATTGCGAAAACAAGGTCAAACTACTTCCATATTTTTAAAAGTTCGTCTGCCCTTCTGTGAGGCTAAAATGAAGGCAAAATGGATTCAGTAGAAAAGCTTTAAGGCTTCCTATGTAATTCCGAATTGTACTTATTTAAAATTATACGTCTTAGTTAACTGTTCTCAATTTTCCTTAAGCCTAAAGTTAATTTTCATAAAGTAATATCTGTTTAAGCCCCATAAGATCAGTGAAACAGTATTTTCTCTCCCCCAATCTCAAGGAATTGTGAGTGAACTGAATTTTGAAGTTCTAGCAAAGTTTACACCGCCGGCATCATTTTCAACTACATCACAGAGGCAGTCTTTCTGTGGGACGAACTGATTTCCTTGCTATTTGGCTGCTAGCCAGAAGCATACTTCAGTGGATGTGAGTGTGATCAAGGCCAAAATTAGTGATAACAAATTAACTAAAAAGTGCTCTAAATTTACCGAAAAGGCTGTATGATTTGGTTACCGTGTTTCATTATGATATGTACCAAGATGTACAGGTTTGTTTGATCTTAGTTGAATATCAATACATCTGGAAAGCCTCTAAGTTCCCAATCTTGACTGCAGAAGCTTATAGAATATCACACTTGTTCGTACCCACCATTTGTTGTATGGTAATGTGAAGTGATGTGGGATTCGGGCGGTTTTAAGTCAAAGGATGATTGTAGAAAGCGCTCTCAAAGGAAGGCTATACCACCAGTGGATTGGCGCTTTAAAAAACGAATAGTTGAACTTAGTGGATTAGCTGAAAGCTACTTTCCATAAAATAACGTTAGTGCAAATGACATTTACTTCTTGATATTTTGAGCTACCAGTTAATTGAGGAGTAATTGGGTCAGTGCGATTCACATGCAAAGATTCTTTCTTCAGACTTCATAACAAAAAAGAATATACAAAATATAGGCCGTTTGACCTCAGAAAAATGTTATTTTAGAGCCAAAGGCCAACATTGGAATGAAGATGAAGGCAAAACGGAGTTAAGGGTTAGAAACGGCTTGTCTATCAACTCGATGGCTAGCTTTGAATCAGTATTTTTGCATTCACCGTTTAAAGATCATTTTATCTAGTCATCGAATTTACATGATTTATCCCACTTTTCTTTATGAAGGGGCCAGAATGATCCAGACTACTCGCCCCAAGAATATAGGGACGTGATTTTCAGACTTGCCTTCTTGGCAGTGATAATTAATTTGTATATACAAGAAAAATGCGGATTTCAAAAGATCTCCTGAGATAAGATTGATGAAGAGACTTGTAGGTCATTCTCACCAGAAGACGTCGGCTGATTCGCGTTGTACTGAAGTCACTTGGCATTTATACAACGTTCAGGTTGATGCCGTCTACAAGAAATCGTACAACGTTTCAGGCGGAGACAGAATGAGCTTTCGTTTGTCATGCCACATGATAAACATAATCAGAGCTGGAACTCATTATTGAAGAAGCCTTAAGTTAGTAATAAGTCAAAAAGGCTACAGTACAACGAAAATCAGTCGGAGTCTTCTGCTGGGATTGAACTACAAATCTCTTCATCAAGTACTTCCATACGAAATGAAAGTCTTCACAAAAATGGCTAATCTGACCAAAAATATTGGAAAAGTGAGCAAGATTTACTTCATTTCAAATTCAACCATTTTATGCATGAAACGCAATTATAATGGCCCCTTAGAATTACCAACTGCCAAGACTATTCACACCAAGTTTGAACAATATTCCACTTTCTCCATTTGCATGTTGACCACTCTAGCTCTGCACCATGGAGTTCGGCTCCTTGGTTTACGATCGGTCCCAGTTAGAGCTCAACTGGTGGACGAAACGGCTTGCTGATCCCAAACAGTTGAGGCAGACGGAAGACACTGGCGACTCTGAGAAATACGCAGTTCCTTACGTCGACTTCACTCACTATGTTAAGTCGAATGAGTGGGAGCTCGATGGTGAAATCGAGGCGCACACGAAGCTGCCCTATAGAAGGTGAGTTACGTCTGCTTGGACGCATCATTTAGTACCTTAAAGACCCTGATTTTTGCAGATGCTTCGACAGACCTTAACACTACCTCCGCATCTGCCTAGCCTGTTGGTACAGTAGTTATGGGCCAAATTAAGCCGACTTACGGCCTTTCATTAACCACATGAACCCTGACCTAGTACAGAAATGTCTGACCTCGTTTGCACAACTTGATTGTGTTGTCAGAGCCACATTCCCAGACGCTTTGCAGGCGTTGTAGTTGACATCGTCAGTTTGTCTTGCCAGTCTTAGCAACAGGCTACAACTCGTAAAAAAGATAAGTCAATGCCATTTTTAGTCTCTTGTCTCTTTGACGAGTTGTAATATGGTGCTACGAATGGCCAGACTCACTGACGATGCCGAAT